TTCACCCAAAGAAGGATCTTTATCTTTCTCACGATATCCAACATAACCTGCCACATAAGCGAGGGATTCGTGTTCATATACCAATATATCTTTCGCTGAATCATTTCGATTTCCAAAGGAAGTGACGTCAGTGGCGTAAATAAGGGTATGCAAGGAATGCCGTCGTATAGGGGCCCAAAGGTTTACGGGGCGCTTGAATGTCCTACGGAACTACATTTACATGCTTAAAACACGGATTCTATTATCTATCAACATATACATAATAGAATCATTCTTCTTTCAAGTTTCTAAGGGTCCCTCCCTAATATACGACGCAAATAGGGGGACCTTGGAAGCAGACGAAAGAGCTAAATTCAGTGTTACAGACACCCAAATTTCAACTGAAGGAAAACAAAAAGACTGTATGCTTTCGTTTTGATTCACCTCTAGAGGACAGCTTTCAAGTTATTAGTAATAATTAAGGCCAGGCTATCGCTCGTCTATTGTGAGAACAAGTTCTAAATTTCTTGGAGGCGGGCATGTGCAAGATGCAGTCCAAGGTGTAAGAGAGCTACGTAAACATTTCGAAATTCTTCAAAATATTTACGTGCATTTCGGAGAAAGTTTAAGAAGATGGAGTTTACTTTCTTCCGGAGACTCTGATACTACTTTCAAAATTTTAATCCTACAAGGTGGGCTGGACGATTATCATTTTTGATAGCAATTAAGCTAAGATACTTTGACATCTTAAAAACATTAAATTGAGTTATATTAACGTCAAAGAAAGCGCAAAGAAAAGACATTGCAAATGGGCTTTAAAAAATGGAGTCTATTAAATTTTTACTCTTAACAATTTTTATGGAAAACGTTTTATCTTTTACTAATGATGCGTCTCAAGTATTACAAAGAAAATCAATCTCATCAACATCTAAAAGATCAGTATGCAAAATATGAGAAACAAGTTTGAATATATTATGAAAGAAGCTGAGTTTTTTGCAAATAAATGGAACACAAAAACTAATTTTGAGGGGGAAAAATTACGGTTTAATGTGAGGATAACAGGTTTGAAAATTCCGAAATATCTTTTAAAGTAACTGTTTTTATGCTGCTGTCGCTATTTTAAATACTCAGTTAACATACAGAATGACTGGAATGACAAAAATCACAATTATGTTTTCCTTTTTTGGACCTAAATATCTGTCATCATTAACAAATGCGAAAATTATTAATAATATTTTAAAAATACAGAAAATATATAAAGGAGACTTTACTAATGCACTGGAAGTAAACTGCTGTGATTTATAAATACTTTCAGATCAGAAATACATGAAGGATTTAGTTAAATTAGCAGTGGTAAAATATTATGACATGGCAAGCAGTTATTCAGAAGTGTGCAATTTATTTGTATTGTGTTAATCATTACTTGTAACCACAGTCACGAGTGAGAGATTATTTTCAAAACTGTACCTAAAAAAAAACATATTTGAGAAACGCTATGACACAAGATCGGTTGTCAGACCTACGACTATAGAGTGTTAAAGCTGAGATGTCTGAAAAAATTGACGTCCAGGTATTGATAAATAATTTTGCGGAAATGGAGGTTAGGAGCAGCAAATTTTAATAAAGAAGAAGTTTTGTCTTTATGACGAATTTTGGCCACCAGTGTTGTAATTCTACTTAATTATGAAAAACATTAGAGAAGACCAGTATGGACCGAGAAAAATTAAAAGAAAACAGGGAAAAATTGACCATACGTATTTTTATGAAAATCATGTATTCAACTAGTTAAATGTACCAAAAAGTATTTTAAAAAGAGAGGGGGGGGGAAACTTTACCAAACTTTACCACTTACCATATTTTCTACAAAGATTGTATGTTCAAATAATTTTCTTTATGAGTTTTATGATAAATATGTTTTATATTTAACAAATGTATCGCTTACATTGTAAAAGTTCTCATTAAAAATTAAGTTACATTATAAAATCTGTCTCTCACACTCACACACACGCTCACAAAATATCTTAAATAAACTGGTTAAAATTATTCTGATGTCAAATATTACATCCAGAGTAAAGTAAATTTGCATTTTACAGTTGGTGAAGGGAAAATATTTTCCTTATTATTCTTTCTTCATGTTACGTATCTTTCAACTGGTTCCCTGAAAACGTACTTTTATTTTTCTATAATTATTCCAGATCTGATAAAAAATCATCATGAAAACATTGGGTTCTGGAATACTTGATTTTTTTCAACTTTCCATTTTTTTAAGCACAGTTAGTTTATCAGGAGGGCAGGAAAATTTTTTGCATAGGGACCCAAGATTATTAGTTACGCCACTGACTGACGTATATTGATGATAGATATCTTCATAACTGATTGAATCATCTTTGGGTGAAAAAACTGAAAAATGTGCACTTTTGAAGAAAAAGCAGTTTCTAACAGCTCTTCCGCCAAATATGCTTCAAACTTCTTTTCATCTTCACAGTCGTTAACATTTGTTTTTGATGGCAATTTACGTAATTTGTTTGCCAACAGCAACCTGTTAGATGAATTATTACATCTGATGAAGACGGATGGTCATTAAAATGCCGCAGATATCTTAATCTAAACCAGCTTTTTTACGGCTTCGGTCAGTCTTGATATTAAAATGTATTTAATATTTATAGATTTTACATCGTCATACAGTGGCGTAGCTAGGGTGGGTCAAGCTATAATGAAATGTTTCCCATTCTTGGCACACAGAAAGGGGAGCAAATTTTTCAGTTGTCCCCGGGCGCTGGCAAACTCTTACTACACCCCTGCCGTCATACAACCAAGAAGCGAATTTATTGATATGATGATACTTGGCAGCAATGTCTTTTTGCCGCATACACTTGAAATAAAAAAAATTTATTTGCCTGGTAGCATTTAATTTTCCTTTTTGCACTTCAATAACCTTCTAAGCCGAAAGCAGCTTTTAACGCTAAAATTACTGCATTTCTTGTATTCCTAGAACTACCGGGGTGGGTCATAGCTGATTTATGGACTTCAGTGATATTATTTTTAATTTGCATGGGAGATACATAGAGAAAATAAAGTGTTTCATGATGAATGCAATGATTTTTAATTAATTATTTAAAAAATTTAGCTTCTAGAATGTTACATATGAAATTTAGTTAGTACCATCAAAGAAAATTTAAATTTTTAATTTCAGAATAGATACTTTAAGATTTTAGCAGCCGTATAAAATGAAATGCAAGAAATTTCTTTTAAATAACATACATTTTAATTAATTAAAATTTCACAATGTTCCTACAAATTAATAAGATATTAAATCACAATAAATATTAAATATGCATGACACTTATACTACTTTGTCTGGAAACATTTCACACAGAATACTAGTCTTTGTTTCTTTTTTTTTTTTTTGCTGTACATAATTCACACACAAATTTTGAACATTTGTCACAAACAGTATTAGTTTTATTGTCTTTGCATTGCTTTATCTGGCAACGTTTTCGTTTGTTCGAAACTTCTAGGATAATTACTTGGACGGATAACTTCTGGCTCTTTTGCATTATATTTCTCTCTTGGCTTCTCCGCTAATTTTAGAATATATTCCCTTCTTTTAGGCTTTCAACAAGTTTTAGAGTTGTAAAAAAACTACCACTTGTTATATTTCGCCCTGTCTTGAGGTAAGGCTTTACTAACCGAAAAGCAGCATTTTCGCCAACACTTACATCATCTGATTTGGAATCATCTGTTCCGAAATATGGAAATGCGTCGATTATGTACTTTGAGATCACATCTACAACCAATCAAAATTCACTGCTTTATTTATCCAGTTTATTTGGCATATATTGCAAAAATCTACAGCGAGTCTTTGACGGAAAAAGCTGCTCATCTACAGTAATATTTTCTCGTGGTTTACACCACATAAAACAGTTTTCTATGAAAATATTCCAAACATCTGATATTAGTGCAAATTTATAATCTTTCAATCTATCTGATCATAAAATTTTTAAATAAAAACGCATATATCGCATAATTTCTAAAAATCTGTTCCGGCTCATTCTTGAAGGGGAAAAATCATGGCCTCAGGTCTTTGACCAAAGGCTTGTGACAGAGATCCAGTTTGCAGCTAAACAATTCTCGATCATGTCTTGAGTCACAGATGACTGACTTTGCTAATTCTAGTGTTAAAGGCTTATTGCTAGGAGGTAGTGGCACACTACTATTCATGATGTAAAAAAGAAAAAAAAAAAAAAAAAAAAAAAAAAAAAAAAAACCCACTATTAATTATTGGGAAAAAATTACCTCTTTCAGCATTACCAGTAAAATGCAATATGCATGAGGAAAAGCACGAAAATGCCCATGCAGCCAAACCGTTCGCTTCGAATCGACCCTATGTTCAACTACCAGTGTCCAGCTACTTTACCTGTTTAGCTGCTGATCCATATTTATGTTATGCATGAGAAGAAAAGTACAAAGCACCCTTGTAAAGACTCCCCTTTGCCAGGATTTGAGCCCTGGAAATTGATTGTTTACAATACGAAATTCCTTACCCCTTTCAAGGAATTAATGCAAATTATTTAAAAGAAACACTATATATTAAAAAACTCCATTGCAGAAGGAAAATAAAGTAAATTGGGGAATTCATATTTAAATCATATGATTATATTGTTCAGTAACATTACTTGCAGCACAGTATAGTGCTGACATTATGCAGTGCTGAAATTTAACACAAGAAAGGCCATCTTGATTGAGAAGATGACTTTAAAAAGATGATTAATGGAAATCAGACAATTAGCTATATAATAAAAAGAATGGAAAAAGTATCAAGAATATAACACCTTTCAATTTAATTATTTAATCCTGTTACTGAAATTCTGTCGTTTTAAAACGTTGTGTTTTATGTGTTTCAAAGTGGAAAGCTGTCTTAATTTAGGTCTAATTCCTTTTTTTGTAGTGAGTTTTTAACTTTTTGTAACTAATTTGGTGCATCTTCTAGTTGTTCATATGTGCCTCACCTTTTTTTTCAGCTCTGGTGCTACCAAGAAAGACAGAAATTCTTTATAATATCCACCACTTGACGATCGACTGGGAAAGGAGAAATCCAGCCACCAAATCCAGATAGTAACGAATTAACATCCAAAACATTTTACGTGGGTACCACTGTAGAGTCCTTTTTGGAATGAGAATCGTGTAAAACCAGTTACGTCCTTCATCAAGATTAAAATCATGGATCTTCTGATTACTAAATGAAAATGCTACTAGTTACAACGCTGTGATAGCACGGACTACCAAAGATTATAATTCTTTGTATTCCCTTCCAATGAAAAGGCAGGTGGCGAGAGAGAAACCAGAAGTGACTGGGTCTCTTCCTTCTCTCCTGTCAGCGAAATCCTGATAATGACAAATTATCATACACCACATTTTAGGTTAGGTTAATTGAATATGGCAAAGCACACAATGGCAATCAACCTAAGAGTAGGGATATGCCTTTGTAGAGGATATTTCTAAAGGAAGCTAACTAGTATTTACCTTAAATATGTCATCACTTTTAATTAGAGGCTTCTGAAGAGCTTTAGGGTCAAAAATCAACTACAGCTTTGCCAGGATTTGAACCACGATCTTCCAACTTGTAACCGGACATGCTATCAGTTAGATTATGAGAACTTGTAGTGAGGAAGGTTAAATTTTTTATAATCTAATCACAAGGCATGGATGATGTAGAAACTGTCTCAAGAAGATCTGTAAATCTTGTTTTTCATTGACAACTGCAGTGGAAGACACTAAGGAAAATGTATAATAATTCATACAATCAAACTGTGTGTCAAATAATTAACAGAAAGCATTTTAAATATAATATTTATTCACGAACACTGATTTAGACTGATAAGCCAGTTACCACTCTAATCTAAATTAAAAGGACAAAGTTGTGTGAAATTTAAAATAACCTTTTTACTAACTGAAATTTAACAGCCTTATTAACTAAAAAAAAAAAGATAGATAAATCTCTTACATAAAAACAATGGAATTTTAAAAGATATGCTACACAGTATAGATAGAATGTTGTTGGGATATATATACATATATAGGGTGTTTCAACAACAGTTACAAACTTTCAGGAGAGATAAGAGTACACGGAGATGATGCACAGATAGCAATGCATGGTCAGAAACACTTTTCCTGGTATGGTGGTGATGACACAAATTACAAGAAAGGAAGGACACAAATAGGGTAAGAAAACATGTCTATGCACAGCAGAAACCAAGGAATAAGAACAAAAACAGATAATGATCGTCATCAAAGGTGGGTGTTCGAAATTACCCTGGACAGTGATGCAGTGTGTCATGCACCTTCCCTGTGCCAGGGATGCGAGATATCTTTCATTATTTAAAGTTGGTAGATATAATATATGCCACCCTAAATGATCTTGCTACCATGCATTTTCTTTCCCAAGTTCACTGAACTGATACTTCAATAGTTATTTTAATCATTAATGATGTCACATGATTCATAAAGCATGATATATTAATCGGAGTAAGACCCTGATTATCTGACAAATCGAATAATGCTTTAAATTAAAATGACCAGCTGTGGTACCTGCATCCTATACAATGTTCAATCCTTGTTTCAATCCTCAATGATATGCCTGGAATAAATTTCTGATATGTTTATGTTAACTCGTCCAATGCAGAGACAGAACTATTACTTTTTACCTGGTCAATGATCTCTCTCACTGTTTCTGATTATTCTCATTTTCAAAAGCAATACTTATATACTTGTAAATGTAAACATTGTAGTTGTTTAATATTGAAATTTCAATTCTTTTTTTTTACTTACATATGCATATTTTAAAATATGAACTCTTTTTTTATGCTTGTAACATTTTTTGTGATCTCTATGGGTGTTGAGGTTACAATAGTTTTTTAGTAGTTCAGAATGGTAAACGGCTCAAGAACCAAGATATTTAAAATAACGTGTTATTAAAATTCTTTTTTTTCACACATTTCTTTTTACTATGCAAGAAAGTATGTAATTTTTAATTTTGGAGTACTCCCAATTGCAGCTGTGTGCCCATAACACATTTTTTTTTCTCTTCGCCTTTTAGAATCGTGTGAACCAAGTTGTTGAAGTCACTGCTAACATTAAGAATAATAACTATATTAAAAATAAATGATAATTAAAGTAGGCACCTTATGCATTTCATAACATCAAAGCAGTTCACAGAATACAAATCATAAAATTAGATCATAATTAACAAAGCTTATGACAAACAAATGTATGGATTTTATTATTCAAATCTTAAAATTCACAATTTTAAATATATAAAAATGACATTTTTTTCCTGTTTTACAAAATAAAAGTTGTAAAACTTTAGCTTCCATTTAGATTGCTTTACAAATCATTCTCATCCACAGCTTTAGAACAAAGAATAATTAAAATAAACATTTTGATATTTTCTAATGTTTTCAGATACTAGTTTACTATTTTTGTATGTTAACAGTTCAAATTAACTTTGTGAATAAACATGCCAGAAGAGTAAAAAATTGAACAAAAATTTAGAACCTTTTTTAATACTCCAAATAGTAAATTATTTACAGGTAAAGACATTTGGAGCAAATCATTCGGATACTTTCATCAATTTACACCCTAAATATATATATCTATATATATAAGATTGAAATGAAAAGGATAGTTAAAATTAGCTAAAGCTTTAAAAAACATTTGATGCAGCTAATTCCAAAGTTTACATGTAACACCAAGTTAAAACAATTACACTAAATGAAAGCAGTTAAATTTTATGTGAAATAACCTACTGAAAATACTACAGAGTTGAATAAAACCTATACAACAAAATCAAAAAAGAACTTTGAAAATACTAAAAAAAATTTCTTTTAAAACCTATACCACAAAATCAAATTTAGTTCATTTAAAAAAACCTATACAACAAAATCAAATTTGGCTTGTTTAACCCTTTAACTGTCAAGTTATTTTGATGATTTGGGTACACAAATTGTCAAATTTTTTTATTGCAAAAACCAAATATTTAGTACAAAATAAAATATACTTAAAGTAGTTAAAAATTGATATTTTGACGTACATGGGTAAAATTTTTTAAAGTTTTGTAGCCACTGCATATATTTTCTTTGAGGCAGCTGTCACTCAACATGGCAGTTGCAAAGTTCGCTTCTAGTGGAGCATTATTTTCTAAAAATGAAAAAAAAAATAATTAACTATTTTCTAAAAATAACATAAATGAAAAAAATAAGTAAATAAAAGTGAATACATATTAGTAGTTCAGTAATTCAGTCTTGTGTGGTACAACTGGAAACACTTTTCCAAGCACAAACCAACTCCACAATCACTACACCAGAATCGTGATTCCTTCCTTATCTTTTCCCCATTTTTATCCTTTTTCGAACAACACACTTTGCACTGTCTTGTAGGCTCACGTTTCGCAGGAATAGGAGGGGAAAATGGGATATAAAATGTCATTCAGTAAGACGGGCAGGGTTATCTATTGTAGGTGGTCTGCCAACATTCTTTTGTCCAGAAGCTGCATCATCATATTTATGTAAAAGCTCTTCTACAACTTGGATTCGAAATTCTAAAAATGTAATACGTTTCCCAACTACATTTTTATAGAGCAAATATGAGTTCCAGAGTACCTTGTCTAGTAAATGTAAAAGTATCTTTTTATAATATTTAATCTGACGTTTTCGGATTGCTGGATGAAAGGATATTTCCTGATCACAGCGATCTACACCACCCATAGTTACACTGTAATTAGAAACAATCTTCGGCTTGAGTATATCTCCATTTTTTATTTTTGAGACTGACCATGGAAGTATCATGAATACTGCTCATCAAACACACATCCTTCATCTTCGGTTGAAGAATCTAAATCATCTATATAACGTTTCAAAGAACTGGACGCTATTTTACAACAAAAAGATCCCATGCACTTTGAACCAAATAACCTCTAACCTTTGAAATCTTCAGTAAAGTGTTGTCATCTATTGAACTGAGCGCACATTAACTTTTCCCGAGATACAGTTGGGTTTGACAAAGAGATGAAGTCGAAATAAACGTCTCCCGATATATATTCGGGTATAACAATACGATGCACTCAAAAAAAAAAAAAAAAAAAAAAAAAAAAAAAAAAAAAAAACCCCGAGTAATACTCGGGCGTGACATTTTCGAACACTAGTGCTGTGCCCGAGATTATCTCGGGCATGACAGTTAAAAGGTTAAGAAACCTAAACATTTTAAATACAGAGAAATTTTAACTACCCTTTTCATTTCAATCTTATTTTAAAATTTGCAGCTCAATGCACATTTTTTAGACCAACTAGGTCTCTCAATTTTTAATTTACTACTTTCTACTTATATATATATAAAGAGTACGGCAATACTCTGTAAATGTGAATACTTACCTAATTGCATCCACAACACATACATTCGCTTTTTCTAATATAAGATATGCTTTATAAATTTTACTCGCATGAAATGCTGTACAAAAAATTCAGAAGATTTATGCAGTATATCTAGATGCTATGAGTGAATATTATCACCCCAGTAGAATTTTTAATCATGAGGACAAATCTGGATGTGGGCATTAATGTTACATAAAAAGAAAATCATTCAGCTCAAATGAGATGCCAAGACTCAAAACTAGGGTTGCATCCAAAGGTTTTTGTCTGCATTTGTATATTATTTTGAACAGATATAAATTAAACAAAACATTAGTATGGACATATATTGTCATCAGATAATATGAAACTGGTTTCATCAACAGACATGGTATGACTCATTAGCAGGATAATGCTAAACTTAATGTACCAAGAAAGATTTGACCAAGACAATGCTTTTAGATGGACAATCCTTTCCCATCTACCTAAGAGTCCTGCCAGATTATTACTTGGACTCTTAAGTGGATTCCTAATATAAGAAACGAACATTGTGTATCAAAACTTAAAGTGTTTAAAAGAGATGAAAGAAAATTCAAAGTTTAAAGATGAACCAAAGTCAGAGAAAAATTATGGAAATTATTAAATTTATGCAAAAAATATATTTTCCAATTACTTTACATTACTTTTCATCAATTCAATATACTTTTAAAATGCTTTTTAATTAAATTTTGTACCCAAAAACACAAATACAAACATCAATGATGAAAATATTCAGCATCACTTTGCTATCAAATATGCAAATATTTATTTAAAAACCTGTTAATTCTAATTCAGTCTCAAGATAAAAAATCAAAATTATACTTAAGTTCTGTTATAATTTAAAATCTTATCTTTCTCATTAAAACCCAGTTTTTCTTTTTTAATATAATATATTTAATTTGTCAAAATTAGCAAAAATCAGACAGATTTTTTTTAAATGTAATCACTTTATTGAAAATGAATATACATGAATCATATATGCAATAAAAAGGCATTGTCTTTATTTCTTGGAAATCATAGTCCTAAAAAAAAGTAAAAAACTTATAAATAACCCCTGAATGAACAAAACATATTATTTAGAAAAAGTATTTGCTTTACATTAAAAAATAACAATGTAGTAACTTATTTAACAGTCAAACTACAATTTGCAGTTTCACTACAAAACACAGAAAACAGTACATTTTCTCAATTTTAATATATTAATTTTTTAAAATTTTTCCTTTTGTATCATCTACAGAAAAAGTTCTAAGCACATAAAATAAATAATATATAAAGGTTATAACAATATGTCTAGAAAACATTTTTAATGATCAATTTAACAATATAACATATATTTTAAATTAGTATATTTTAAAAACTAATTACTATGATAAATACTCTGCAAAAATCTAAAATTTTATAATGCATATTGTTTTGGTTACTTTTCACTAGATGCATACTGATTTAGAAAACAATAAGTGGCAACAGTGAAAACAGAACATTCTTTTGATTTGTTTTGATGCAGTTTGAAAGTTGCTAATGCTAGATCAGATTCTTCTGTTTTGATCTGATAGATTTGCTGTAGAATCTGGTAATACGCCTTGCCATTAGGGTCCACATACCATTCATACATATGCTCATGCAGAGGAAGAATAATGTTTCTGTAATTTAGATTGTGTTTGTATCAGGAGAGATAGGAACACAAGCTAGACTTTTTCCCTGAATTCACTTTATCAAAAGGAAAAAGAATGCCCATTGCTGAAAAAGGCCTCAGAGACAGCACAACTGTGTTCCATGTTGTGGGAATGGATCGAAGGATCTTCTACCCCTATTCCCTCACAATCCATTTCTTAAGGAGACTTTCAGGTACAATACTTTAAATGCCCCCATGTCACAGAGACACTGTAAATTTTTAAATGCCTATGTCTCCTCCAAGATTCAAACTTGTGTCCAAAAAAAAAAAAAAAAAAAAAAAAAAAAAAAAAACAAAAGGGAGGGGCTGCCAACTAGTAGTAAGCATTAGTAGGGGGCTGATTGTGACCCTATTTCAAAGTTTCTGAACACTACTTTGACGTAAAAATGCAGTATAATTTCAAATAATACAGAATATTAATGTGATGGTATATTCATATTACATGCACACATATAAATTTTCAATTTTGTCCACAAAGTATGATGCTTTTTATTTTATTATCTGCTTATTTATGTTTTAATAAAGGCTTTCACAGTGTTTCTACTTTTTTCCGGTTTCTTAATTGCTTAACTTGATACATTTAGCTTGCTTTTCATTGGGGGGGGGATAAGTTTAGAGAGAAAAAAAGCACAGAACTTTAGCAAGCTGTTCAGCTACTCAATAAACAATCCCTAAAATTTTTATCAATAATGTCTTAAAAATTTTTGTATGTATTTTTATTTAATTTAAAAAGAAAAAAGGATTTTATTTTTTCACAACATCTAGACTGCAAGTTGTTCTGCATTCTCTCATGATATCACCAATGCAAGTTAATGCACTTTTAACAGTGGGTCCAAGAAATGAAGCTAAAACAAATTTCATGAAAATTTGTCAATATTGGGTATTTCTGTTTTCCATTACCTTTTAGTCTGAACATTTTAGCCCAAGATTACAAAATAATTTTTTGGGTCTATTTCTATATACGACAGGTGACTACTATTTAATAAAGCTTTTTGGTGTAACAGAAATTGGGTTTGACTACAAATCCTCATAAAAGGCCATGAATGAGATATATTTTCTCAATTATAATTCCAAACTGATTCTCATACTTTGTACCTTGACTCTTTTCTTCTGATATAGATATTCTTTTAAATGTCTGATTATGTTGCAAGATGCATGCCTGCAAACTTATCATGACAAACATTTTTGAAAGTTTTTAGCCCAAGACAACATTAGTATGCAACCTTGTCTACAGTTTAAGATAGTTATTGGTGTTCTTATTGTTAATAAATGCTTTTAAGTAGTAATTATGTTAGCTTTCGCACACATGATTTTATTTAATTTATGTTGTAATTGCATTTTGATTATATCCAAAGCATTATTGATGTATTAGAGTTTATGTAAACCACACACCTTTTAGTTTTAGAATCTACAATTTGGAATATACCACATTTCTTTGACTCCAAGGCACAACCCCCTTTTTTTTCCAACTGCACTGACTGATATAACGCGGGAGTGATTGTGGTCCAGATAGAGCTGACATTCTGGGTTTTTTACTTTATAAAATCTGAGAATTCCAAATTTGAGGAATTACATGGATATGGAATCATTGTTTGTGCCATGTTTGAAATTATATCACTGTATGGATGGATTGTTCGGACCATTTGGAGAGTCAAAAATTATGAACAGCCATAATTAGAACTTGTTAGTTTAATCTGTTTTACGTAAGCTACAAGTAGGTAAAATAAGTTAATTTAATACATACTGTGTTAAGGTTTTGTTTCCACCACTAAGAACAATGTATGGGGATTGAGTTTCTTTCTGTTTGGCCTGTAATAACTTTACTGTGTTTAGAGGAGTGTCAGTAGAACTCATCTGCTTCAATCTCTGGAAAATACAGAATAATTACATACAATAAAAAAAGCTAACATGAAGGTAAACAAATTTAAAAACAAAGAGACAAACAAACTCACCATGCACTTAAACATAACAAATTATACTGTAAAAAATAAATGGCTGACAAATCAAAATATTCTTTGCATTCAAATTGGACATAACATGTATAATAATGAATGGCAGATTTATTTGAAAACAATGTTTAACACAATGAGTTGTAGAGATTATTAGGATACTTGAAACAAGAAATTCAAAAAATTTACAGAGTTCTCAATGGAATTTGAACCATGAAGCATTAGTTGCTAGCTGGATGTGCTAAAGACACCACAATGGTACACCTGCCTGAATACAATAAATCCTTGCATTTTCCTACCTGAAGGACAAAAACCCATGTACAGACTATTAAATCTTCCAAAGAAAGAAATATGAAAAATCTAATGCATGTTTTTGTGGACAATCGAACTATGGACCTTTCAGTTGCTTATTGAGAAGCAGAGGAACTCCATGAATTACAAGGAGAAACAGCCTGAAATAAAATAACATTTGAGGGGAAAAACTGCAGTGCATTATATTGTAACTAACTTCCGCTTCTGTCTTTTGAGCTAACCTGATTGCCATTGGCTGATCTAAAAATAATATGGTCATTGTAATTTCCACAAATCAAATATTTATTACTTTATTTACTACCGTGATGATTGGTGTACGATGGACAACTTGAAATAAATTATTATGCACATAAATGAATTAAAAAACTGACTGATAAAGATGCCTGTCATTGCACAATTTCTGTTTCAAACTGCAAATATATTTTAGACATGAAATGATTGCTTCCTGCAAACGAGTTGCACTAAGGGGTCAAAGAGCCTCATGCAGCTTGTGAGACACAGTTACGGGGCCCGAGAGCCACAGTTTGGTCATGGTTGATATATAGCCTAAATTTTGTGAGCAGTCTGACTAGCGGTTCCCCTTTTTAAATAGAAGAGCATATGGCTTTTGGGTGAATGAAATGAGCTTTTGGGTTCCCCATTCTTAGCGCTGCACTGAAAACAACATTATGCCACAACACATGCTAGAATTACCCAACGTTAATAAAAGATTACAGTACAAAGTCTGTAATCCGGACTCGTCGGGACTTCGGTGATTCCGGATTAAGGGTTTTTCCGGATTATAAGATCATCAATTTAAATCTGGTAAGATGGCATGCAGAAATTATACAATTAAAAATATGAAACCATAATTTATGAAATAAAGAGTAATTATGATCTAAAGGGTATCAAAATTTACAAAAAAAAAAAAAAAAAAAAAAAAAAAAAAAAAAAAAAAAAAAAGCCTTAATATTTATTTGTTTACTTTATTAAACATTTCTTTCAATGTAAGTAAGTTGTTTAAGTTGCTTCGTTTTTTGTGCTAAACGCATTATGCGCATGCATAAAGCATACAAAAAAAAAAGGTTTGTGGCTTTGAGGTCCGGATTATAGATCATTCCGGATAATGGATGTCCGGATTACAGACTTTGTACTGTATTAGTTATACATCTGCTTTAATCACACTTCTTATAAGCAGCAACAAAATAATAAGAATAAAATGCACTTCGATTTGAAATGCCGCAGCATTTTCTGGATGACCTAATATTATAACTAGAGTTAGCAAGTTTCTTTTACACTTAGAACCAAAAAAATAGCTGGAAGAAAATGTGGAAGAAACTTAAGTTTTGAGCTTATGTTATATTTGTGTATTTTATCTATATGTAGCTTTGATATATTACTAATTAAAATTGTTTCATTTTATGCAATTTAATTAGCATCATTTACATACTTTCAATAAACATTTTTGGTAATATTATATATATTTAAAAAAAGATTTCCCCCCTTAATTAGCATATTATATTTTGTATTTATATTCAGAAACTATTTTCACAAAATATATTTAGGAAATAAAATAATATCCGAGAATTATATATACAATAAAAGCCAGACTATTTGGCATTCAACTAACCGAAATATTTTAGAAAACTTTCCCTGGAAAAATTTAGTAAATGAAATATTTTGAATGCCATTATAGAGTTAGTAATGCTCTTAACATTTACACCTTATTGCCAAACAGTGCAGTGCCAATAATGGATAAGTATGATGTCACAACACTATCATACGATTGTTTTGGTTTAATGTAAATTTGATTACTTCTTGATAAATTTAGTTAAATTTTTGTAAAGAAAGTTATATTCTATTTTTCCTGGCATTTTGAAAAAGTTATTAATATTTCGCACTGCATGAAGTAAAGTATTTTCAAAATTACAGGAACCGGGTGTCTTTGATTTTGCACTAGTACAGGCTAAAAGTCATGACCCACAACTTTGGATAAACAATAAATAATGTATATTCTGATTCACATACCTGATTTGAAGATCTACTTGTTCATCTTTACTAAACAAATCATACACAAAACAACGGAAAATTAAGCATAGATATCAAAAAGTACTTCCAGAGAAATGCTGAGTTATGCAATTATGTTGGATGTAAGGCAGCAGCATTTGTTGATGAAATTGAAGGCATTAGATATGAATTAGGTTCCAATAACGTAAATTCAGCTAATTTGTAAGAATTGCTGAAGTCGCATTATAATGAAGTAAGCAACAGCAATCTCAACAGTGACAAAACAGCAACCACATGAATTTCATTAAGGCAAATTGACTGATATATACAGTGTCCCCTAAACATTGACCTTCGCTTTTATTCCTTAAATACGATCATATATATATAATCTAAATTACAAATAAAAAATGTACAGAACTTTATGAAATTAATTAAAATTTTCAGGGAATTAAATTTAAAGAAATATAAAATTTACATTTTAATAGTGGCCCTCATACAGAAAATTAGCAATTAGCAAAATGTGCCCCATACACTGATAAGGTTAGGTGCAAAATTTCAGCATTTTATAATAAAAATTTGCAGATATATGTTTAAACAAAGTTGGTGAGGGGTATCATAAATTAAAATGTAAACGCTTACAGCTAGATTGCAAAAATGCATCATAAGAATATGAAATATGGCTCTTATTTTAAATTTTATTTACAAATTTACAAAAGTATGTTTCCTGAAATCAGATCCAGGCACAGAAAAGTGATTTAAGTAAGCATTTGTGTAATTTCATATCTCTGTGGCTTTTATGCTGAAATTTTGCACACAATCTCGTTAATGTATGGGCCATATTTTGCTAATTGAGAAATGTTGTGTGTGTGTGTGGGGGGGGGGGGGGTATATAAAAATTTGCACAAAATGTTGTGCAAAACATTACTGACAATAGAACATTAAACAGAAACTACTGGATGAAACCAGTAGTTTCCGTTTTTATTTGAAATGATAAATTATGGACTCAAAAAAAAAAAAAAAAAAAAAAAAAAAAAAAAAAAAAAAAAAAATTCAAATTTACATATGGTTTACCATGTCCTGAGCTTCTATAAGGAAAAATATTACAAACTAAACTACACAAAATTTGCTTGTGAAATAAAGAAATTTTTATTTGACTTCCTTTAATTTTGTATAACTAGCTAAAGAGAGAGAAATATAAAAGGAGATGGTAAAAAATATTTAGATGAATTACAGTTTTTATATGTATTTGCATTGTTTGATTAATGTGATTTCATTTAATACAATGCAGGAATTAACTGTGTTATATAAAAAATTCCTGTACCTAATCCAATATATATATAAGCACTTACAGTGTCCTGTTCAAGTTTTTTCATTCTCTTATCAACTTTGTTTTTGCCAGGACCTTTACCATGAAACTTGTGAGAGAGATAACGAAAAGCTTCTTTTGCAGTTAACAAGCGTCCACTGTCATCTATATACTCAAGTTTGACATCTGGTTTGTAATTTGTTTTCTCACGAAATTCTTGCACTGGCCCAGTATACCTATCTCTCTTGCCAAACTTATCATCTTCACTAGAATACAAACATGCATATTCTTAAATTCCTATTCAAACTTTATTATGCATTTGTTAAAATATATAAAATTGATTTAATTTCAAGAAAACACTTCATAAATGTTTAACTTACTAAAATTTTTCTTCAATAGTGTATGACTGAGCTTGCAACTGACTAGTTCTAGGTGCACTGCTAACTTTTTTGGTTTCTTTGTCTAAATAACCTGCATAATAAAAAGAAAATTAGCATATATTCTAAAATAACTAAAAAAAGAATACTACAGCTTTAAATTTTAAAATATGAAACACCAGGAGATTTACATGAAAAACAGTAGTTTCTGGGAGGTTTTTGTTTTGCATGGCAATGGTGCTTTAAAAGAACTACAACTTTATTCACTTTATAATGAACTATTTACAATGTGATTCTGTAAAATATATTTAACACATACAATTTTATGCTCTTTTTCTAATTTTATTTTTGATTTTCTTACACTTTCACAGTAAGAAAAGCTTTTACCTAAGAAAGTACTTTTAAATACGATGAAAATAAAATTTATCTGCACACCCCTGCAATGATAAACTTAATAATATACCATTTATTGGTGTATGAATATTAACTGATTGAACATGGCTGAACCATGATAAAAGTACAACAAATATATACAGTAATTTAAATCAAATACAATAATAATAGAAAAAATTTCTGAAAATCATTAGGGGTATGAGAGTTGAATTTGCACTAGTACAGGCTAAAATTATAAAATCTGGGAAATTTGTAAATGCAATGAAACCTGGCCAGAGTTGGCAGCTATATAATAATATTAAGTTGCCAAAAGATGTGAAAGTTTTTAATTTAAGTTAACAAAACACACTCTAAAAATTATAATTACCAGTGACATATATGTATCTATTTTTATTGTAGCATCCGTAAAAATTAATTTAAAACAAATTAGTCCAAAAAATAACATTTAAATTACATATATGTGGATATGATTTAATAGACATATATGTAGTATAAAACAAAAGTTTGAGGATTGCATCCCAAAATGACAAACATTTGCTTTAGCAATGAAATTTGGAAGACATACACAACCTAAAGGCAACAGCATTATTGTGTATAGTTTTTTAGAGTTATCAATCCAAAGCAGAGATTCAGAATAAACCCTGATGGTCAAATGGCTTTGTTTGTGTCATGATGTTTGTAGAATTTTTGTTCACATGGAAAATTTTTTTATTTCCATATATCTAATGCCAACTTCTGCGTAGATTTCTTTAGAACCGTTTGAAATATCTGACACATGCCGTTCCAAGCATATGATACAGACTATTTGCTGCCGATAGTGAAACATGGCAGGGGTTTCGTAATGGTCTAGGCAATTATATCGTGGTTATTCCATGGTACCCACCAGTACTGTGAAAGGCCCATTACTGACAAGGATTATGGCTGATCATGACCATCACATGGTACAAATTTTGTTCCCCAATGGTGATGCTGTAATCCAAGACGACAGAGCTCCTGTTCACTCAGGTCACATTGTGCAGGACTGGTTTTCTGAGGATGAGAATGGACTTTCACATCTACCATGGCCACCACAGTCACCAAATATCAATATTATTGAGCCTTTGTGGGTAATTTTGGAGAGGAATAAGCATGAGTGCTATTTCTCACTATCATCGTTAACTGAACTTGGCAATATTTTACAGGAAAAATGGTACAATATTTACTGGCAAAGCATAAAAGACATCCATTTATCTATTCCGCGAAGACTGCAAGCTGTTTTGAAAGCCTACAGTTTTTCCCCACTGCATTAGTCACAGCAATATGTTTTTATTTTGGTGTTTCCATATTTTTGTCCAACCTCTGTACCTCACCATCTGAAGTTCATTTTATTCCACTTTGCTTATAAAAATTCACTTCAGTACATGAAGACGAATAACAAAACTGTTTGTTTTAGACAATATTTGACTCTTTAAATACCAAATCATCTAACAAGTTTTTAGGCAAAATACCACACTATTACAAATGAGATTGCTATAGTTTACATTTTCCCATTAAGCTAATACACAGATTTGATGCTTTCAAATGGCATCACCCCTACCTTTTCACAAAGAATCCTCTCCAAGCTCCTACGGGTACTAGACGAAATGATACTTTTTATAAAACTTATTTAAAAGTAAAATCATAAAATAGTAAATCTGGGATAAAAAAGGCAGTCTTAATCCTATCTACATGAGAAATAAATCAACAAATAACTTCCACAGAAATTATAACAATTACCCCTTATATATATTCATCCTTGAGGAAAAGAGAGGAAGCAGGCTGTTCTGATCTCATGTGCCCAATCAGCTAGACGTTAATTGCTTGTATAACAAACAGTGATAGCCATTGAAGAGATTAATTTCGAAAATGTAAATATGTTTAAGACAGTTTTCCAGAATATTCAAATTGTCTGTAAAAGAGTTATATGCCAAAACAATGAGTCAGAATTATGAATTTTAATATATTTTAAGGTCACATTAGTCAGAATAAATAAAAACACCATGTTTGAAACTCATGTAGGTAAACAAAGAAACTATACTATAGCAATCTAATAGGCACAAATGACCTTTCTCTGGCACCATTATATCCCGTATTCCCCATTAATGAATTTCTAACAATACATACAGTTTAGAGTATTATCTCACTGCCAAAATCTTTAAGTTGTCCAATCTGCTCAATGTCTTTACCTGCTCTTGAAAGTTAACATCTATATTATGTATGCTATCACTGTTATACTGGATTGTGTATATTTATTGTATCATTTTTGCTTTTGATGTTACTTTACAATTAAATTCATCATGATTTAACAGATATTTTTTAGAGACACGAGAAAAATTTTATGTAAATTCTTTATTTTATATCATTTCAATGTATAAAAGATTTAACATGAATGCTCTAGTTTCATAAAATGGGAAACAGTTCTATTCTGAAATAAATTATTTAATTCTTACTCAGCAAGTTTTATATTGTTGCATTTTTCTTTTCTTCTGACACCAGTTGTTACGTTATTTTCTTCCTTCACATTCGTAAGGAGTTCATGTGGATTTGGAGTGAATAACGACGACACTTGATGAAGTATTGTATTTGGCCAATATTAATCAGGACAGCTTCAAGTCACTTTTACAGTCGTCGATGAATTACTATAAACACGCTGACACGATCAGCGACACAGCCTTCAGGTTATCAGGCTATCACAGTGGAGACAGCTTCACTGCAAAGCACCAGAGTACAGCTCCCGACTTTGCTCGGTCGTTCTCGGAACTCCCCATACTCTTGAGACTCTCCACGCTACAATTCTCGATGCACTCGACGACACACAGAGCACGGCTCCCGACTCTTTGGTTTAGTCATTCCTGGAGCTCAACACGCTCTCTTGATGATGCACTAACCGCGATACAGTAAGAGACTCCTTTGGTGAACTCGACGACCCACTCGGCACTCGCTGCCCGGCTGTCAACTCGATCGACTCCGCAGGGCTCGCTAGATGAGGCACACTCTCTGAGACACACACTAACTGACTGCGGACCAGCAGGGTTTATATAGCTTTCGGCTTGTGTTCGAGAACATTCTGGGCTCAACCGGTAAGAATTCGTTCCAGAAGGTTCTCCATCAGTCCATGGCATATCGCCAATTTTGTCGCCAGATGGACGATTTCTCGCCAAATGTAGCAACCCTAAAACTGCTTTGCGGGTAAGCTATCTTACCGCACCTGAACATTTCGTTACAATACAACCCTTCGGAAAAATAAAATGCACCAATAAATTATTTAATTCTTATTCAGCAAGTTTTATATTATAACTCTCCGGAAAAATAAAATGCACCAACAAAGTAACTAAAAGAGATAAATTTTAACTAAAAACACATCTTAAGATATACACACCTTTTTTCATTGCAAGTTTCAGGGCTCCAGCCACACCTAAGCTTATATCGGGTTCTTCTTCTAAAATTGGCTCATTTTCCCTTACCTAAAATAAAACTTAATTATAGAAAGCAATATGCTAAGATAAAAATTACAAAATTATTTCATTCACAAATTGCAGACATGCACAATGTAAGAATAAAGCAAACTAACTGATATTTCAGCTGGTTTTTCATCAAGATCTACTTCATTCCACGCACCACGATTTTGAGCTTCTAATTCTTGTTTCTGTCGTTCTTCCATAAGTTCCCGTTCTAGGTCCTGAAAAATAATAAAAATTATGCATTCTAAAGTATATACTGACACACGCACAATGTTTCATGCAGCCAGCCTGTTTGTTGGGAATTGAACCTGAGGGAAGCAAGTATTCAGCAGTCTTATTCACTTAGTCACTGTTGGGCATGGTAAATACATATTTAATGTAAATACATATATATGTAATAAATGATAAGCAACTTAACCTCCATGTAATAAAACTAACGAAAATGGTAATGTATGGTGCAGTCATATGGGCATTTTCAATGAATACAAGAAAACTAAGAACCTATTTCTATCTAAGAGCTATTCAAAGATTATTTGTGCTGCAAATTACTACAGCCTCTCACATGATGTCTAACCTAGCACTAATGTTCTGGTGGGCACAATTTCTCTCATAATTATTACAAAAATAGAAGATGTAGCTGCCAAGATCTTGCAGCTGAATCAGCAATAAGAATCCAGAGGTCAAACCAAATCAATGCAAAAATATATATCATACATGTAACAAATGTATGTAAACAAACAAAAAAAAAAAAAATTATCTACGAAATCCACAAATATGAACCTATTTTTTTTAAATGATAATTAAAATATCCAAAATTTTTATTTTTCAGATTTCAGTTTATTTATTACGTAATATTTTCAACTTTTCTTAAAGCATTCTATGATACACTTTCTTAAGATCTCTGCAGATTTTAAAGTGTAGTTTGATAAATAAAACTATTAGTATTCCATTATATAAAATTTAATACACAGTGTTAGGAAATAAAATTAATATTTCCTAGCATTAAAAAAAAGGGGTAGGATCTAAATTAACTCTCGAAACATAATGGGTTTGGGCTTGAAATTTCAAAGTTCTCCAAAATGTCACGAATAAATAATATTTTCTTCATTATAATTCCAAAATATCCCTCTCATTTCATTCCTTGACTCCTCTTCTTCAAATATGCATCCAATTCAAAATCGGATAGATCAGGAGCTTGCAGAATGACTGAAGAAACTTCAGAAACCAACAAAATAAAGTAAAATTTGTATGAGAAACTGAAAAGAATATACATGGGATAATGACAAGGATAATTGCTGATTTCACAGTATTTAGAAACTGATTTCATCCATAAGAATATGTAATTTCATTATACATAATTTGAAATACATATATGTTGTTAAACCATCCATCAAAAACAAATGGCTATGTTGCAAAAATAAACTAAGTGTAATATAAATAAATTATTCTTGTTATGGATGCTGATTTAATTTATGTAACCAAATGAAATTATTCTCCTCAGAAGAGTGTACAGTGTATATTTCCTTCTCGCAGGCTTCAAGCTGCAAAATTTGTAAGAAATAATAAGTAAAATATGATATACTAATTTTGTTTAAAGTATTATTTATTTTTGTTTCCAGTTGTGGTCTTGATCAGATATTTTGAAAGCCAGCCCATTGCATAAAAATATAAGTAATACAGTCAAAAGTCGTTAATTCGGACACCCATAATCCGGACCTCAAAGCTACAAACTTTCTGCGCATGCGTCGCGTTGACGGTAAGACCTTTACGGCTGCGAATGTGCTTGTGCACGTGCGCAAAATACGTTTATGAGTGCGCGTTTAATGTATAACGGACAGTATAAGGTAAGCTAAAATTATCTAATTATCTATTTCAGTTAATGTTGCAGATTGCATTGTTCCTTAATCTTCGAATTGGATCCAGCTTATTATTTTTTGCAAACTGTTAGAGCAATTTTATAAAAGTAAGCTTGAACTTTCGATTATGTCAAATAGAATTTCTGATATATATTTACTAATATGTAAAGGATTTACAAAGCGAAATTATATTTCGAAGTTCATTAAACAAAAAGTGGAATTGCTGCAAAAAATGGATAAAGGCATATCCTTTGTTTATCTAAACTTTGTTTATCTTTAACACCGTGGCGGGCACGCAATGAATTGGAAGTTGATCTGTCAGCACTATCCTTATCTTCAGGGCAGATGTTTTTATTTTATTTGGCTTATAATTCCTTACTGAATGTAGTATTTCATCTCGATGTACTCCGTCTTTGATATGATTTAAATCAAATTCCTCGTCATTATAATTCGCTTCCGACAGCGAAGAAAGTGACAGAGGTTATTGAAAACAAAAAAATTTCGATTGACAAATTAGTCGGTAGACACAGCAATTATAGGACTTGAACAGCGAAACTTTGTAACTGAACAAGAAATTATGTCTGTTTATAGAATTAAAAGAGAAATGTATTATCACGTAAAAAACGAAGCAACTTAAACAACTTACATTGAAAGAAATGTTTAATAAAGTAAACAAATAAATATTAAGCTTTTTTTTTTTTTTTTTGTAAATTTTGATACCCTTTAGATCATAATTGTTCTTTATTTCATAAATTATGGTTTCATATTTTTAATTTTATAATTTCTGCATGCCATCTTACCAGATTTAAACTGATGATCTAATCCGGAAAAATCGATAATCCGGAATCGCCGAAGTCCCGACGAGTCCGGATTAACGACTTTTGACTGTAGTAGTAACATTTTTTCATTAATTACATTATGGGTTATTCCTTTTTCCTGCGTAATTTTTTAAAACTGCTGTCTGATTAACCATGATTTTGGGTAACTGGGGATGAACTGGGAGTCCACTGTAGTTGCAAAGTATTATAGAATAAAATAAACAATCCTTTTAGCATTTTTAGCAATATCACATTCTGTGTCAATTAACACTTTCTCATTTGAAATTCATTCTTATAATTAAGTATTTCCAATGGTAGAGATAACTGAAGAAATATATAGCATGTTTTTAAAGTAAGGTTCATTTTGCTGTATACACTAATATGTGTTGTGTGGATGGCAACGAGCGCTTGTGTTATACCCCAGTATTCCTTGAAAACAACTGTGCTCAGTTGCAGATGAATAGGCTGTTCAGTTGCAGATGAATAGGCCTGTACGGGCTGTTCTGTGTCTTTAAAATGTTCAAGATTACTAAATTGCCCGCCCGTGCAAGGTATGGTCGGTGATACGTTTTTTGTCGGCAAGAAACCTGTTTACTGCAGACATTAACTGGCAGATTTGTGAAATTTATGGAGCAACTGCCATGAGTGAAAGAAAAGTGCGTAAAACGGTTAAAGACTTTAAAGTTGGCCGCGACAACGTCCATGATGATTCCTGCTCTGGTCGCTCATCTGTGATCACAGACGATATGACTTTAGTTGAAGTGAAAATTCTTGAGAACATATACTTCACCATAAGCACTCTTTCAAATGAATTTCCTGAAGTGTCTAGTCTAAGACGTGAAAACGACCGTGACTTCTTGGTTAACGGAGCATGCAGCAAGCTTCTATTAACAGGGTATTCAAAATCTAGTTCTAAGGTATGGTTAAGTGTTTAAACAAACTTGGCAACTATGTAGGAAAAAGAGAAATACATATAAGAATCTGAAAATATTCTTTTGTTTGGTTTTTTTTATTTTCAAACACCCCTCATACATCCAGTATTACAAGAAATTAGTCCCGAATGATTTATAAATATCACAGACTTGATTTTAAAAATACAGTAGACACTGCTTAATGTGATCATGTTTGTGCATAGCTATTTTGATAACAGTAAATGGTAAGGGATATAGCTTTCAGTTAACAATAGAAGTTATATTTACTTATACTTAAATTAAAATTATTACCTAATTTTAATATAAGTAAAAACATAAAAATATTTACTTTCATAGCATTTTAACTAGGAAAAAGGCATTGCTAGTGGATTATTTGCAAGTGTAATGTAAAAGTTTGTATACGAACTGCTTCTAATATTTCTGAAAAATTATCTGATGGATGCTAACTTCTCTATCCACTAATCTTAATATTTAGAAGGCATCCTTTATATATCAGCATTTATAGGAAATTCCCTGATTTCCTATTTACAATTTTTAGAAATGGTGTTTGAATTTGTTTCAGAAAGTCACTGGAACATGCCTGAAGGAGAGAGACCTCAGCCTGATCATTCTCAAAATTAACAGAGTTATTCAAAATCTGCATCAGACTAAACAATAGGCCATTTTATTGCCTAATTTTAAAAGGTTGACTAGAAGAGAGCCCCTCAAAAAATCATGATTTGAAAAATTAATCTTATGATAATTTGAACACTAACTGAATAGTTAATCAGAATAAGTGATGTATTTTCCATGTTTTTGAATGTTCCAATTATTTCCCATGTTTAGGTAGTAATTTGACAATAGTATTCAGAGGATAACATTTGCTATGATCACATTAAGCAGCATCCACTGTAATAGCAAAACACTATCCATACCTTTTTCTGGTATCATTGATAAATATAATGAAAACACATGTAATGCACACCTCTAAAAGGAGCTCTAATGTGGCACCTCACTGCAAAATTATGTTATTGAGACTGGTTGTGATGGGATGTAAATCTGACATCCGACTAGATGCAGAAATCATAGCCCTGTTTACTTTATCTGAAGATTTTTAAGCACATTTATGTTTCTGGTGTTTCCAAACCATCAACACATTAAAGAACACAAATCATTGTTCAGGAGAGAACTCAGGAGACTTTCCAATTACTAACTATCATGCAATGTAATTCAGTTTCATATGCAGTGGAATTCTAGATGAGAGATTCTAAATTTAGATGAGAAATGCTAACCCTACAGCTCACCCAATGCACTGATTCACTCTGCCCTATACTATCACAAAATGAATAAAAAAGTGAGTAAATATTGAGCTTAATTTGAAAATCTGATCTGTTTAAATTGTTTATGGTGGATACAATTATTTACTTAATAGCTTTACTAACTAATATGTTGTATTTAAAAAAATTACAATATTCAATATTAAAATGAAATTATATCTCAGAGCAGCCAACAGCTCACTTTTTCCTGAATTTTGTCTGAAAAAATTTATATAAACAGTAAAAATGCTGCATAGACTTATTTTATCAAATGGGGGGGGGGAAGAGATTTCAGAAAGCAATAATTGCATTTCAGTATGTTAGCTACTCTGTTCTCAATTGCCATCAAAATTTACTTGTGAACCAAATGGAATATATAAAGCCCCTATCAGATATACAGTATAAAGTCTTTAATCTGGACGTCCATAATTCAGAATGATCTATAATCCGGACCTCAAAGCTACAAACTTTCTGCGTATGTGCAAACGCATAATGTGTTTATGCATGCACATAATACCTTAACGCATGCACATAATACATTTACGCATGCACATTTAATGTATAACAGACGGTATAAGCTAGGCTAAAATCATCTAATTATCTACTTCAGTTAATGTTGCAGATTGCGTTGTTCCTTAATCTTCTATTGGATCCGGCTTATTATTTTTGCAGACTGTTAGAGCAATTTTATAAAAAGTAAGCTTGATCTCTCGAACTGAAGCTCGATTATGTCAAAAAGAGTTTCCGATTCTGAAGCTGCGAAAGGATCTACAACGTGAAAGCATGTTTCGATGTCCTTTAAACAAAAAGTGGAATTTCGGGCGTCGCGGTGCGCAATGAACTGGAAGTTGATCTGTCAGGCACTATCCTTATCTTCAGGGCAGATGTTTTTATTCGACTTATAATTCCTTACTAAATGCAGTACTTCATTTCGATGTACTCCGTCTTTGATATGATTTAAATCAAATTCCTCGTCATTATAAATATCATGACACATCAAATAGATTTCTGGTTGCAATTTTCTAATTTCGACTATGCACAATGTATGCTTTACGCATGCGCACATTGAAAGAAATGTTTCATAAAGTAAACAAATAATAAATATTAAGCTTTTTTTTTTGTAAATTTTGATACCCTTTAAATCATAATTGCTCTTTATTTCATAAATTACGGTTTCATATTTTTAATTTTATAATTTCTGCATGCCATCTTACCAGATTTAAATTGATGATCTATAATTTGGAATCACCGAAGTCCCAACGAGTCCGGATTAAAAACTTTGTACCGTACAATGTACAGTAATTCACTAAAATGGATTTTTATAAAATGCAACTCCCTAAGGAAAAGTTTGAGCTGTCTCTAGAAGCACATATTGTTCATTAATCCCCTTTCTTAGATATACACAGAAATAGGCATACACCAAGGACAAAATTTTAGACAATGTGAACAATAAAAATTATAACATTATTTGATAACAGGTATATTATATGCATTAATTTATTACAGCATAATTTTCTTTGCAGTGGTTGGTTTACTCTGTAAAAATGTAACTTTTAAATGACGATTAAAAAACAAAAGATCACTCTTCTTTTGGAAATTGATATGAACTTTTTTCATAACCAAAACAATTCTATGAAATGTTGCCCCTCATCTGTTTCTAAACTAATATAACCAATTAGTTTTCCAAAATTCAACATTGACAAATCTTTAGCACAAGTTGCTAATTTAGCAGCTTGTTAATCAGCAATTTCAAATGTACAAAATATGTAATTCACATTTATATCAGTTTAATAATATAATTTCCTAAACTGATGATGAATTTACCATCATTTCATCTGCTTCTTCATCTCTGTTACCAGACATGCCATATGTAGGAATTTCACCAAGTGTTCTACAAAATTCAGCTACTGAATTTAATTCAATATTTCCAATTTTAGAATCTTCATGTGAATCCATGCCACTTCCATTAACACTCTTAAGAATTTCAATAACCTAAAACAAAATTTCATTTTATTATTCAATTTTATTTTAAAATTATTTTTTAACGACAATATGGATTAAAAACATAGTTTTAGAGCTACAAAACATTTAAATAGGCATAGTAAATGAAGGCTATGTATACACAATTATTCAGAGAAATTACAAAACCAGGAAAGAGATAAATTACAATAAAGATACTTCCTACAAAGAATATACATGATGTAAGGCATAAATTAATTTCGACACAGACTGTAAGTCAATAGAAACATGCTTATATTTCTTCCTTTCTTTGGCACATATAACTAATCATGCATAACATAGTAATGACTAATATGGATGTTGAACGGCTGTTGGTAGAATGTTACTCCATTCAAATGGAATACAGATCCACAACTCTATAGCAACTGCTGTGCATGATGATATATGGGTCAACTTCAAGCAAGCATACTTCTCAGATTTCATGGAAACTAAATCAGCCAGCTATGCAGGCTAAGGAAGAGTTGACAACTGATGGTCACGTAAGAAACACTGAATAATGCATGCGAGGTGGGCAGTAGCTGGCAGCATCTTTTTGGAGTGTACCCCCCCCCCAGAATGATTCTGTAGAAATGCTAGAATTCTGAGATTCCAGTACCTCATGAATATAATACTGATTAATCATAATACCTGTAATCTATAAAAAGAGACAGTTTGAATGAAACTGACAGCACCCTGTATTATATCCTCTGAATCAGATTTCAGCCTCAAATGCATGTACATCGTATAATCCACATACTGAAATTTAAAATATTTATATTTTTTATATTTAAATTTCAGTTAACTAACTAACTTGTATGCTAGATTTCAGGTCAGTTTGATAACATTTTCTGGATATGATAATTTGTTTGAACAGCAATGTATTTTAACCATAACAAGAAACATATAAAAACATATCAAAGTACTTTTATAATGAAATTTATAAGAAAAACAATTACACTGATATCGAACCACAAACCAAGACAAAAATGCACAAGATAATAATCACACAAGTTATATTATCAACGAAGCTAAAGCACATAACCAGGATTTTGCTGGAACATGTGAAAAAAATACGATCTGAAAACTTCAAATTACAAGTGATAGAAACATTTACATTCGGGGGAGGGGGAAGAGAGAGAGAAAGAAAGGAAAAAATATCCTAAAAGTTAAAAAAGAATAATTTAACTGAAAATAATACACCTTAAAACAGAAGAGAAACACGCCAATGTGACAATCAAAATCGCAATAACAACCTTGTATTTCGTGTACATTTATTAAAATACTAATTGATTTCGAGGGCAACTACAGGTCTCTCCTCATCAGGACTTTACTAGAAATTACTAGAAAGAAACCGGTTGTTATTGCGATTTTGATAATACACCCTTACAATATTAAGAATCCAGCTTATCATTAGTTTTTACAGATAAGAAATTTTTCAGTATCTTAAAATACATATTACATAACATTATACACAATTTAAAGCTCAATTTAGATGTCGATACTTCTATAGTATATTAAACTATTATTCTATAATATATTAAACTTAACATATTTTCCAAATTTTTGTCGAGAATTACTATTTTCATATGCTGAATACTCTATATATTTTTATGAAAATTTTATTTAAAACCCCTGCCAGAAGGTTTATAGTGGATCTCCAAAAAACCATTCATGAAAAAATTTTTACACTGTTTATTGTATAAAATAGTAATTATTCATATAAAAAAGCAATACATAAATAAATTCTAATAACATGAATCCTTTTAAAACATGCTATCTAAATTTAATGCATCATTTTATTGCATATAAAATTATAAACTGTCTTTAACAACAATAAAAATTCAAGTGGGCTGGGAATATGTATATTTCCCTATATGAAATTTAAGGACACATCAGCAAATAGGAATTAAATAAATTAAAGCAACCATCTATTAAAAAACTTACTCTTTTAATGCTTGTCAAAAATTAAAACAAAATTATGCATTATTGTAAAATGCAATTTAATATTTAAGATAACTATAAAACAAATTCGAGAATAAAAACCAGCTCTCTAAAAGTTAAATAAAATATTAATTTTGAAATATAAGTTAGTTTTGAGGTTTATTTTTGATTACAGCAAAGCATGCAAGGCTATCAGCTGAAAATATAATTTGATGAAACATTTATATTTTACATTTATAATAGTCAAACATATTTTAAAGATTTATATGATCAGTATTAATTTTCTCCATTTTTTTAATACTTCATTAATCAATTTTTTCTGCAACACTTTTACCCCTTTGATTTTTCAGATTTAGTTAAAGATTTTTGTTAGTCTAAATACTACACAGTTTTAAAATGCTCAGAAAAAAATTGCTGATCTTTATTTCTTCAGTAATTTTAATATGGAGAATACTTAGAAAAAACTCAATGAAATTAAGCACAGTGCAAAGTGAAATAGAAGATAAACCTTTTAAAATTTCAATTTTGTTACTAATAGAGAAGTCCTTTTCTAGAGATGCTTATCTGTATGACAAGACTAAGTTATTTTTACAATTTTTCACACTTCTGAACTGCAAAGATGGAAATAAATAAAGAAGAAAAGAAAAAAACTTCTGGAATCAGAATCAGATAATTCAACATAGTATTTTATAAATATTATAAAAAAATAATGACAATTTTCCCATAAAACAGGTTTATTTTGTGTTTAACATATTTTTCATCTTGTCACATGCCTTCTTCCCCCCCCTAAATTTTAGCCATAAATTATGGGTCTATGAATCCTGCTATAACCTTTTATGATACAAAGACTATTATACCCTATTGAAGCAAACTCGTGGCCAACGAATGCATTTCAATTATATATTTAGTGCATATACAATGATATTGTTTTAGAGAAGATATGGACTCAGCCTATGTGTGCAATTCTTATTGAAGGAAAAGGGATAATTAGTAAAAAATTTAGTTCGCCAGCCAACAGCTGGTAGCACTTCACTATAATGAAATTTCAATTTAATATTTAATATACATAGTGGTTCATTAAATATATTGGAATGATCTGAAATATGTAAATGCAAGTTTAAAATTTAATATTTAGCTGTCAGTACATTTTAATTACAAAACGCAACTAGAAGAAATTTCTTGCAGGTACCAAACTTCAGACTTCATATAGAAAATAGAAATTACAATTTCCCCCTTACATTATTATTATATATGTATGCTTTGATAAATAATCAGTAAGTGAAATTCAAAATTTATTAAATTTTGTTAAATAAAATGTTCTGGCCCATCAGCGGCTTTCAGACTGAGCATTCGGCCCACATGCAGTTTGAGTCTGAGACTACTCCTCTACAGACCATACACAGAAACTGTTTCCACCGTCAAACACATGAATATTGTTTCCTTTTTAACTTGACCAGACATTTCTTTTTTAGAGATATACTTTCAATAAGCAGCCCAAACTGTGCCAAAATGGCTCCACAAGCACTTTTCAGGAGCTCTGCGCTCCCCTCCAGAAAAATAAAATAAATACAGATAGATGGATGAGATCGAAGAACTTATTTATTTATTTTTAAACAAAGATACCAAATCCTGAATAAGAATTGTGAATTTCAATTTTACACCTCCTCTAGCAGCTTTCAGCACTAATTCCCAGTTTGTTTCTCTGATTTCCATTTTTCAAAATGTTACTTTCAAATTCTAATAGTTTGGTTTTCTTTAATTTCTTTACTTTAATGAATAATATTTTTACTTACAGTATCTGTTTAAATAGTTCATTTTAAATTTTCAAATTTTAGTGAATTAAATTAGCAATCCATTTAAATTCCCAGTTTTTTAAAATTTTCCTGTCCAAAAATTGAGTTGAGAATTTTTATTCATGGATTTTGATACCTGCACTTATTTACATATGCTCTCAGAATTTAAATGATATTGTAGATTAGTTCACAGCAATAATTAATCATTTATTTGTTTAAAATTAAAATTTCATAATTTTAATTCAATTTTTATTTATTTTTAAATTTACTTTTTACGAATAAAGAATGCTTATTAAATTCAAATTTTATTCTTTGCAGCAATGGCACAAAAGAATTATTTAAGTTTAATTTAACTTTACTATTTATTCTTATGAAACAATTTTGTTTGTACTTAGCAGCTTTTAGCGCTAATTACCAGTTTGTTTCTCTCTCTCTCTCTCTTTTTTTTTCCCCAAATTCTAATAGTTTGATTTTCTTTAATTTCTTTAGTTTAATGAATAATATTTTTACTTACACATATACTTTACATTATCTGTGTAAATAGTTCATTTTAAATTTTCAAATTTTAGTGAATTAAATTAGCAATACCATTTAAATTCCCAGTTTTTTAAAATTTTCCTGTCCTAAAATTGAGTTGAGAATTTTTATTCATGAATTTTGATACCTGCACTTATTTACATATGCTCTCAGAATTTAAATGATATTGTAGATTAGTCACAGAAATAATTAATCATTTATTTGTTTACAATTAAAATTTAATTTATCTTTACATTTGCTTTTTACGAATAAAGAATGTTTGTTAAATTCAAATTTCATTCCTTGCAGCAATGGCACAAGAGAATTACGTTTAACTTTACTATTTATTCTTATTACAAAAATAAGATGCTTTAATACTTTCATCACACTGCTGAATGTTTTATTATTGTGCAGGAAAGCGCTAACTTCACCTAATCCACAAGAATTGAAAATACATTCTTTTAACTGCAAAGCACAGATTTGATGGGTTATCTTTTTTCTAACAAAAAAAGTACTCCATAGATATGAAATCAATGAGTCCGCTATGTTCACAATATTTTGTGGATCCTTTAATTTATTTTATCTCTCTCAGAGCAGCAATTCTAAAATAAATTTGGTATGATGTACTGAAAATCCTTTAAAAATACTCATTAAAATATCATCAAAAATTTTTATGAAAGAAGAAGGGGGTTACAAACTACATAAAGAAATCAAACAATTATATAACAATGTTTTGCATTACAA